GAAACACTGCCCGGTCCTGCCCCATCCTCACAATCGTTAGGCTTGAGCTCACTGTTGCAGCCACAGTGTCAATCCATCTCATTCAAGGTCTTTCTCCTTTTCCCTGACCCTCTACTTTACCAAGCATGATGTCCTTCTCCAGGGACCGGTCCCTCCTGATAACATACACACACACACATATATAACTCACATACCCTGTTCGAATGTGTGAATAAACAGAGGAGGGGACACCACAGACTATTAGGTTTAGGGCCTCATATGCCTTAATCCGGCCCTGTATGTAGAAGAACGCAAAAGTAATACTACAAAGGACTGGTGAGGGTGTAAACAGAACTGTTGTAAAAGTCTTACATTTGTGATGTGTAAAGTGGAACAATATTAATTCTAAGTAGACTATGGTAAATTAAGGATGCATATTGGAATCTCTAGAGCAATTACTTAAAAACTCCAGAGAGTTTGTAGATTTTAAAAGCCAAGAGAAGAAATAAAATGAAGTACTAGAAAATATTTGATGAATCCAAAAGACAGCAGGTAAAGAAGAGGAACAAAAAAATCGATGGGGACAAATAGGAACCAAATAGCAAGATGACACTCTTAAATGACAAATAGGAACCAAATAGCAAGATGACACTCTTAAATCCTACCATATTAATAATCCTACCACATTAAATATAAACGGACCAACAAAGTGGATGAACCTTGAAAACATTAAGCTAAGTGAAATAAGTGAGTCACAAAGGGACAAATATTGTATAATGCCACATCTGTGAGATATCCAGAAAAGTCAAGTATATAGAGACCAATGTTTATTAGTGGTTTCCAGAGGTGAGCAAGAGGCGGGGGGAACAGAGACTTACTGCTTAGGGGACACTGAGCTTCTGTTAAGGGTGATGAAAAATTTGGAAATGAATAATGGTGACAGTTGAACAACATGGTGAACATAATCAGTGTCACTCAATTGTACATGTAAAAAATGTTAAAATGGCAAATATTTTGTTAGATATTTATTTACCCAATAAAAATTATTGTAAATGGACAAACCACCCAAATTAAAAAGCAGACGCTGTGATAACAAATAACAGACTGCCTACAAGAGACATACTTTAAATATACAGCCACAGATGAGCTGAAAATAAACAGACAGAGTAAAGATACACCACACAAACGGGAAGCATAAGAAAGCAGGTATGGTTAGATTAACATCAGACAAAGTGGATATCCTGAAAAGGAGAAGTACCAGAGATAAAGAAGAACGCTTCATAATGATGAACGTGTTAATTCAACAGGAAAACATAATAATCCTAAAAATGTACAAGCCTAATAACAGAGCTCCAAAATACATGAAGAAAAAAGCTGACAGAACAAAGGGAATAAACAGACAAATCCACAATAATGCTTAGATATTTTAACACCCTTCTTTCAGGAATGAATACAACAAATAGACAAAAACCTAAATCTGAAAAACACTAGTAACCAACTTGACCTAAAAAATAGATTAAAAAAAAAAAAAAAAATCAATAAAAAATACCACAAAAGTAGGGAGTAATGTGATTTAGTCAGAAATTTTTAAAATTATTTTTGTTGGGAATTATTCTGTGAGGGTTACATATAAAAGTTAGAACAAGAATATACATAAACTTTTTTTTATTTTAATTCTTCAAAAAGAAAAAATCACTTCCATTATATACCTTTCTAACAGGATAGGAAATATAAACTATGGGCCAGGAAGTGTGCTATTACACTTCACAGAGATTGCATCTTGCATTTATGATAAGATCCAGCACAGTGCCTTGGGAGACAGTTGTGTTACTGCAATAAACCTGGAGCCAGAAGACCTGGATTCAAATGATGACTGTGTATATTAGCTTTGTCATCATAAGTAAATCACTTAATCTCCGTATTTTTCATCATCAGCTACAGTGCTGATATAAAGACTGTTGTTATTGTTGTTTGCCATCAAGCTGGTTCCGACTCACAGCGATCCTAGGACAGAGTATAAATGCCCCATAGGGTTTCCTAGATTGTAATCTTTACAGAAGCAGTTCAGCAGGTCTTTTTCTCCCGGGGAGCAGCTGGTGGGTTTGCACCACCAACCTTTCAGGAAGCAGCCAAGCACTTAACCATGGCATCACCAGGGCTCCTTGATGTAAAGATTAAGGGATATTATTTAAAAGTATCTGCTAAAGCACACCATAAATAAAGTTATCTTGCTCACAGTGAGACTCAATAGACACTGGTTAAATGAAGAAAAGAAATAGGTAAAGAAGAATGTGGACAGGGAGAGGCAAGCAGACAGGAAGAGACCAAGGGAAAGCCATGTTTCTAGTCACATTTTTTTTCCTCTGTGGGTAAGAGAGGGTAGGGTACAGAATGTGGGCTTCTAAACCGTGATGACCTAATACCATGTTCCTATCATGAATACTAGGTGATGGGTAGGATAAGGATGGCTGATCTCCCAGAATGAATACACTTTCATCCTAGCTTGAATCACAGAATTCTGGGCTATCAATCCCTTGCCCCGTCAAAGAGCATGAGAACAAGGCTACCTGTCTAACCTAAGACTCCAAGGGCTTTATCCAGGTTCCTAAGAGTCGCAGTAAGTCTTCTATTACTGTGGACCTTCGAAATGCCAACAGAACTGAAGAACCACTGTTCAAAGTGCTCCATTTCTAATGTAGAGCAAAATTAAAATTTATAAAAGAGACCAGATTTGCTGCTCCGACAAGAGACTGGAGGAACCTCCGAGACTATGAAGCCCGGACACCCTGCTAACTCAGAACTGAAGCCACTCCCGAAGTCCACCTTTCAGCCAAAGATTAGTCGGGCCTAGAAAACAAACAATAACACGCACGAGGAACATGCTTCTTAGTTCAATCAAGTATACAGGACCAAATGGGCGACATCTGCCCAAAAGCAAAGATGAGAAGGAAAGAAGGGACAGGAAAACTGGACGAAGGGACTCAAGGATCCCAGGGTGGAAAGGGAGAGGGGGAGACGTGCTGACACATTGTGGGGACTGCAACTATGTCACAAAACAATGTGTGTATAAAATTGTTGAATGAGAAACTACTTTGAGCTGTAAACTTTCACCTAAAACACAATAAAATTCAAAAAAAGAAAAAAACAAAAACAAAATGTTCCACTTCTCTTTATACTGAGGTTTTCAGAGAATTTGCTCTAAATGAGACAACCAGAGCAGACATTTTCTGGATACAGAAGCAGTGACTAGAGCAATAGGATGATTAACGCCTAGTGGGTTGATTTTCAGTAATGTTCCAAAGAATGATGCTAGGTCTGAGAGTATTCAAAAAGTATACAAGAGTATAAAAGTCTAGAAAGCAACAATGGATAACCCAGATTAAAGACCAGAGAAGCTACATGTCTTCATCCAAGCATGGGGCCCACAAAAGCAGGGAACCTGGAAAGTTAATACTCAAATCAAAATGTGACAGAGGTTTTAACAGACTGCTGTGGTGGCACACAGAGGATGAGAGCTAAGTGATGGGGGAGAAAGGGCAGCAGGGGAAATGTTCCTGAAAGGGGGACTACCTGTGCTGAATCCGGAAAGATATTAACGAGTTTCCTGAAGGATGCTAAGGAGTTATCTAGGCAAAAGGCATTCCAGGCAGGGACACAGCGTGTTCAAAGACTCAAAAGGTTTGGAAGATGCCATCTTTAGGGAACTGCAAGTAACTCTATGTGACCGGAGCATATGGTGTGAGGGGAAAATGATGAGACCTTAAAAAGCACAGGCAGGGGTCTTAGAAGAATCTTTTTTTTTTTTTTTTAAGTCAGGTTTGTTGTTGTTAGGTGCTGTCTAGTCAATTCCAACTCATAGTGACCCCATGTTACAAAGCAGAACTGCTCCAGAGGGTTTCCTGGGTTGTAATCTTTACAGAAGCAGATCACCAGGTCTTTCTCTTGTGGAGCTGCGGGGTAGGTTCGAACTGCCAACTCTTTGGTTAGCAACTGAGAACTATTATGCCACCAGAGCTCTCTGATGTAAAGATTAAGGGATATTATTTAAAAGTATCTGGTAAAGCAACACTACGAATAAAGTTATACTGCTCACAGCAGTAAGTCTCAATAGACACTGGTTAAATGAAGAAATGAAACAGATAAACAAGAACAGGGACAGGGAGAGGCAAGCAGACAGGAAGACACCATTCCTTTAAGTCAGGCTTAAGGAATTTATATTTTACCTTGAAGATGAGAAGCCACTGAAGGATTTTAGGCAAGCAGTACAACAACCAAATTAGCATTTTTAAAAGATTATTTTGACAACAGTATAGAGAAGAGATTGGAGGGGGACTAATGCAGAGGCAGGGAAACCAGTCAGGAGACTAGTGAAGTAATCGCTGTGAGGCTGGCCGTGGTCGAGGAGAGCAGCACTCAGAATGGAGAGAAGAGGTACTGACTTAGGAAAGAGGTAAAACTCTCAAGACTTGTTCACTGCTTTATGTGAGCTGAGAGGAAGAAGGAATCAAGCTTGACTCCCAGCTTTGAAGCTTGGACGTCTACGTGGATAGACCTGCTGTTCACGGAGACAAAGAGTAAGTCTACCGATATTCGGAAGTATAAAAAACAATGATACTGTACTAATTTGACAAAAATTAACACGAACAAAAGGAGAGGCTGCTTTAGAAAGCATGGATACATATCTCTGAGAAAAATCAAAAGCTTAAATTCACAGAAAGGAGTAAGTCAGAGTTAAAGGAATTCCTGTCTAACATATGTTGATGAATGAATAATCAAAGAACACCACAGAAGACAATTCACTTACAAGAGAGCCATCTACTGCCTTTCAAGAATAATGCAGCAACGAAACGCCAGAAGAAACATGGAAGAAAGCCAAGAGTTTCTAACCACTTCACATTGTACAAAAATATCGGACACTTCCTCCAAAAAACAACCCAAGTGGTCGGCACTTTCGGGTAACAGCCAAGTGCTTCCACTTCCTTATTCGTCCTAAAAACATCATCTGAATATAAAACACTTACCTGCCATCATCGCTATCATGCTGGCTTTGTAGACGTCAGTGAGACATCCAAGTTCTCCTGTTGCCAAGATGGTTTTGAGATGAGCCTCTCCACAGGCCTTGCGAAACTGACGAATCTCATCATAAAGGGCTGGGGAAGGAAATAATTGAAGCAGTTACAAGGCAGGCAAGTGATAACATAACTTGGCAGCCGTTTAGAGCTGGTAGAACCCATTTCAGATTTAGGAAACGTAAAACATTTGTCACCATCTAAAAATCACCCCAATTTAATATTGCCTAGAGCATTCTGTTGTAGTTCACATTCTGTTACAAGGAATGCTTAGTTTGCCACCATGGAACTGTTTCTAAGCCCTGGCCCTAGGTCCAGAGTCACAGAGCTTTTTAAATATCATTACAATGACATTCAAATTACAAATAACGTCTACCTCTCCTATAGGATGGTCACCTAGAAGAAAAAACAAATTTATCTAGCATACGCCGGTATGCCACTTTACAAACTATAAAAAAACTCAAGTCCTTATTAATTCTTCCGTTCAGTGCTCCTGTTGGGATATAAAGCAGACCTTTCTGGAGAGTTCTGCTACTGATAAGAAAGACATGACAGCTTGTCCCAGTATCTATCTGCCAGCATGTGTGCCTACATATCTGCCTAAAACGTGTTAAACCTGGCCAGGCAGTGCTGGACACATGTGTACAAAGCTATCTGTAGTGCAGTTCAGAGATGCAGCCTTTAACCTATGAAGTCTTGACTCCAGTACCACATCTGGCTCTGTAGGGCTCCATGCATCACCCTGAAAACAGCATGGATGAAAAATAATGGAAAAAAAAAAAATTTTCCAAGAAAAGTATACACACACACAAAAAATAATAATAATAAAATTGAGGGAGGAATTATTTTATATGCAAGGTAACAGAATTTTAATAAACAATTAAATATCTATTACAGTAAATTAGCATAACGAGTATTAAAATTTTGAACAATTATTTAGCACTGTCTTTTGTGGAAGACACCAGTGGATTCTGGTTCTTACCCTGCATCACGCTGGCCATCCCCATTTCCTGAACTATGGCTATTGCCACACCACCAGGTCCCAGATCAGGGCTTGTTTTACTTTCTCTGTATGCCTGTGTGTTTCTTAACAAGTAATTATATTATAGCTACATGGATAAAACTGGGCAGGAGAGAAACATTCACAGTAAGTGTGAGGAATAGGGTTAGCATTGTTTAATGCTCTAATGAAAGTTCTATAGTTCACAGGTTTACTAAAGTACATTTAAAAGACTGAAAATCAGTCTCAAGTCAGCAAACTCAATCAAAACCATAAAAGTTGTTAACAAGATGAACATGACTTGTCTTTGCAATACTAGAAAACCTGAACGTAATTCAAAGCTTGAAGTGGAAACTGAGTACAAATAAAAGCAAACTCTCCATTACAAGATGGCTGGTAAAGTTTAGAGTTTGTTACCGCCAAGAGATGGTACTCATGGAAGGTTTTTCAAGAAAGAATTGAATATTTTCTTCATAATAGGTAGTCATGAGTGCTAAAGATGATTTGAGATGCCACATCGCCTACCTTACCCTGCCCACCTTACCCATGAGAAAATCACCTTACCCATGCAGCTCATGTGATAATGTGTGAGAGAACATTATAAACAGTAAAAGACTATGCACCAATAACAGTTTATATTCTTTTAACTCAGAGAATGAATATTGGATGGAATGACATTTCTTGAGTTACTGAATCTAAAAGGAGAAAGTTGTTCTCTGAGAAGAAGTGACACGGAAACCTCCTAATCTAAAAATTCAAGAATGCTAATCCATATTTAACGTGTCATATGATTACTGACTTTCTTCTACAGTACAGTATTACCATCAAAAGCGAGCTTCAGAGCCAAACAAATTTGGATTTAATATTCAGCTCCATCACTTCCTGTGTGACCTTGGGCAAGTTATTTCTCTCAGCCTCAATTCCATCCTTAAAGGGTGGCAAATAAGATTAATCTTTAGGGTCGCTATGAGTCAGAATCGACTTGACGGCAGTGGGTTTGGTTTGGTTTTTTAATAAGGTTATTGTGAGGATTATTAGATATAATATGTAAAGTACTTTGCACACCACCTGGCATATTGTAAACACTCCAAAAATTTCTTGTTATTTAAATTCAGAATTCTAGTAAAATGAGTGTCCATTAACTGTTATGTGATAAAAGTTAAGTCTTATTTCATTGCCTGACTCAACTCTTTGTATAGCACTGAAATTTCCCTATATGGATTAGCGCTTACAATCAGTGGCCATCAGATAAGGCTAGAAAATAGTTTATTATGGCATTTGTTACAGTGAACTTTGGCCTGTATAACAAAACTCTTAAACATTGATTCCTACCATATTTATGAACAAAACCATCATCCTTTTTCTAAAGAGTACTTCCTTTGGACAGCCAGTGAATTTCTTCACTGTATTTAAAATTAACCAGAAAAAAAGATGTATTTTATGACTCAATTATCAGTCATCTGGAAGTTATGCTCTTTAATCCACGATCCAAATAGAATGAACCAAAAATGGTCGCTTAGAGCTTAACTGGATTTAACAAATATGCAACCAGTGCTTTCTCATTCTTTAATTGCCAGTTCCTCAAGTCATTTTTCTGACCTACTTAAACACAAAACAGGATCAAGTTTCTCTGAGCAAATATCTTAAAGACTTAACATTGGAGAGCTGTCATTTTCTTCTGCTACCATTCTGCCCAGTATATACCAGAACAAGTAAATCAAAAAGCATACCCAGTATGGCCCTTGTTTGTATGGGACCTGGGCTCCATCAAGCCATTGCTTCCACCTGGGACTTTGAATTTTACTGAAGTGATGCCAAGATGAAAGAATGAATAATAATTTCACATCTGAAATGTGAAGGTAACTGTCAACTACCTCATAAGTGATGTTTAAATAATGTGTAGATTTTTAAGGCCACATAAGCGACAGCCGCAGATCCAAGAGTCCAGTGCCCCAGTGGTTACCAGCCAGCAGCATGCTACCTGCCTTGCCAGTGGCAGTGGCAACAGCAGTGGGACTGTAACCAAACTTTTCCCATGGCACAAACTAGCTGTATTCTCGGCTCCCCAGCCTTCCATGCTCCTGCTTGTTTTCCAAGCCTGGCTCTCCAGGCTTCCTAACGATTCAGTGAGCTACTCTTTATCTCCTAATAAATCCCTTTCCAGCTTAACTTAATTAGAATTGGTTTTATTAGTTTTCAACTAATAACTGCAATATAACAAATATTTACTGGGAAAGTATCACACAATGGCCAACAGGGCAGGATCCTTCGACTGCCTGGGTTTGAATCCCACTAATTAGTTGTCTTGGCAGAAGTACAACCAGAATGCTCCTTAGAAGCAAGGCTGGTGAGACTACGTCTTACATACTTTGGACACGTTGTCAGGAGGGATCAGTCCCTGGAGAAGGACAACATGCTTGGTAAAGTACAGCGTCCGCGAAAAACAGCAAGACCCTCAACGTGATGGACTGACACAGTGGCTGCAACAATGGGTTCAAGCATAACAACGATTGTGAGCATGGCACAGGATCGGGCAGTGTTTCGTTCTGTGGTACCCAGGGTCTCTCTGAGTCGGAACCGACTCGATGGTACCTAACGACAACAGCAACAGCAATTAGTTGTTTGGTTTGGTGAAATTAGGTAACACTGAACCTGTATAGGGTAACACGCATAAAGCGTTAAGGACTGTTCGTAGCACACAGTTCATGTTCAAGGAATGTCAGCCTCTTGTTCTCCGGCTGGTAGTCGTGTTGCTGTTGCTCCTGTCGCTGCTGAGTGCTTCTTAAGTTCTCAGTGCAGTGGGACTCATAAAAGCGAAGAACACCGTGATTTATGTGTCTTAAAGAACATAAAATATAGTCTCTTTGGGGACTATAAGAGCCGTCTGGGCGGAAAAGTTTACCATATCACAGAGTGTTTTTTGCTGTTTTTTTTTTAAAACTCAGAGCCATGCTCCTTAGAATAGCAGAGACTTTTGGGATAAGACAGTTTTCACTTCTTGTTAGCTACGTAACTATGTAGGAATTACTTCATTTCTCTGGGACTAATTACTTAGGGAGCCTTAGTTTCCTCACCTACTTATGTGAAGATTAAATAAAATAATATATGTGGCTAGAACAAAACCGAACACTCAGTAGGCATTTAATAATTCAATATTAGTTTTTCTTACATACTTCCAAAAATGCAAAAATAATTTAAAAAAAAAAAAACTGTCCTGATGTATATTAAAGGGCAATTAGACTTTGTTGATCTTACCTGTAAGAAAATATAGGCCTCTTGACTCTACCACAGTCCATGGAAGCCACAAAGAAGCATTACCAGTGTTCTAGGTAGTTTTGAGCACCTCAACATTACAATGATTGACACCTTGAAAACTAGATAGACGATATATGCAAATCAAAAGGACTAGATGGCTAAAATGTAACCCAGTCAATTTCAAATCGTAATGTCCATTAACATACTCAACTGACACTTTCCTTTATATATAAATGAGCAAAATGATGGAAAAACTAATGGGTAGGTTTTCCCCTATGTTAGCAGGAAAAGACAGCAGTAGGATGTGGATTTATTATAATTGCTACTGGACTATATATGTGGAAAAAATTATAAGTGAAGTAATAGTTTAAGATCCTCTTTCCATAAAGTTCTTCATGAGGAATAATTGCTCAAAAGAATAAGAAATCCCTTAAGTTTTCAAAGCATCTTCCTTCATAAATGCTCAAAGTGTTTTCTACACACTATTTAAACATCCCTTGGAGGTAGTTGGCAGTCACCTCCACATTTCAGATGTGAAAAGTGAAATGTGGGAAGACGAATGACTTGCCTCAAATCTTATCACCAGTCGGTGGTAGAATAGAGACCAGAATTTAAAATTTTATTGCCTCAAACTTTTCTGCCTCTGTCCGAACATACACACGCATGCAGTGCACACACGCTAGTTAAAATGTATTCTCAAGGAAATAAACTGAAGTGCTTAGAGTAATACAATAATCAAATCCTAGAATCTAGGGGGATATCAACTCTATCTAGTTCAAACTACTCACTTTACAGATGAGCATTATAATCCTAGGACCAATTTTCT